CAGTGTGACAGGTAAGGTGATAAACACTGGCCTCTAGAAAACTATAAAAGGATATAGAAATCCATACATAAGCAGTTATGTCTACAGTGTTCTGAACTATTGATTTTGGACCACAGAGAAGGAATACTTAGTTCAAGGGCTCATGGGAGGTACAGAGGAATTTTTGTTGTTGTTTAGTTGCTAAGTCGTGTCCAACTCTTTGTGACCCCATGGACTGTAGCCCACCAGTCTCCTCTGTCCATCGGATTTCCCAGGCAAGAATACTGGAGTGGGTAGCCATTCCCTTCTCCAGGGGATCTTCCAAACCCAGGGATGGAACCCTTGTCCCTGCATTAGTAGGTGGATGCTTTACCACTGAGCCACCAGGGAAGCCTTATAAGAAGAATTTTAATTTGGATCTAACTTATTTCTTAGAATTATAGCTTCAAAATGGGGAGCTGCTGTGGAATATATGTGATGCAAGGGTATGCTAGCCTTCTCTGACCTTTCTTCTTCTTTATGTCAAAAGCAGGTTCCAGCCTGAATATCTTGGTTAGTGACAGAAAGAAGTTTCTGTATAATCAGAGTGTGACCTATCTCAGCTATAATCACATAGACAGACCAGCATTTGCCCAGACTGCATACAGAAAAGTCAACACTAGCCAAAGTTCCCTCTGTAACTTCTTTGATATACTAATACCCAGACGTACTGACTGCAAAATCTAATCATTAATAACTATATGACTCCATAGGGGAAACAAGTTAAAATACTGCCCCAAATCTTGAGAACTCCTATTTTGTATGGACTTCTCAGGTGGCGCCATGGTAAAGAACCTGCCTGCCAGTGCAGGAGAAGAAAGAGACGGGAGTTTGATCCTTGGGTGGGGAAGATCCCCTCGAGGAGGGTATGGCAGCCCACTCCAGTATTCTTGTGTGCAAAATCCCATGGACAGAGGAGCCAGGTGGGCTACAATCCATGGGGTCGCAAGAGTCAGATACGACTGAAGCAATTTAGCATGCATGCATGTATTAGCATTATCAGTAAATTTTGTTGCTTATTTGCCATTAGAAATGAGATAGTTGAAAACAGTAATCTAATGTTACTAGAGGAATGTTAGAATTATAGCAAAACATGATATCTGTGGATGGGATTAATGATCCCAGTCTTGAGCAGAAACTGATGACCCTAGAAGTGAGCGCAGAGGTTATATGTAATACAGATCACTGCAGGCTTGAGCTTATGAAAGTTGGATCCACTAGGGCGCAGTAGTGTGCACACTTGAAGACAAGCCAAAAATAGCTACCACGTTACTGCCTTCTCCAATCCATTCATTCAACAGACATACCAAGGAATGATTACTGAGTGTCTTCTATGTGTCAAGCACCCTTCTCAGTACTTCTAGGCACTGGAGGCACAGTGATGAACAAGGTAGACAAGGCCTCCACTCCCAAGCTTACCCTGCAAAGGCTGTGCTCTTTAGTCGGGCATGCAGCCGGACAAGGTGAAAACAGAGATACTCGAGCAGGCCCAGGCTATATAATCAATATATCTATAGGTCTTTCCTGCCTTTTATGATGCTCTCTTTGTTATTAATATCGTCCTTATTGCATACCCGACACAGACACTTTCAGGTGTGGAAAAAGATGGACAGTTGTTAAGTTAGTATACGCCAGCAAAGTAATGTTCAAAATTCTCCAAACCAGTCTTCAACAGTACATGAACCAAGAACTTCCAGATGTTCAAGCTGGATTTAGAAAAGGCAGAGGAACCAGAGAACAAATTGCCAACATCCGTTGGATTCATAGAAAAAGCAAGAGAGTTCCAAAAAAAAATCTACTTCTGCTTTACTGATTATGCCAAAGCCTTTGACTATGTGGATCACAACAGACTGTGGAAAATGCTCCAAGAGATGGGAATACCAGACCATGTGACCTGCCTCCTGAGAAATCTGTATGCAGGTCAAGAAGTAACAGTTATACATGGATCAACAGACTGGTTCCAAATTGGAAAAGGAGTATGTCAAGGCTGTATTTTGTCATGCTGCTTATTTAACTTATATGCAAAATACATCCTGCGAAATGCTGGGCTGGATGAAGCACAAGCTGGAATAGAGATTGCTGGGAGAAATATCAATAACCTCAGATACATATAGGACAGCACCCTTATGGCAGAAAACAAAGAAGAACTCAAGAGCCTCTGGATGAAAGTGAAAGAGGAGAGTGAAAAAGCTAGCTTAAAACTCAACATTCAGAAAACTAAGATCATTGCATCTGGTCCCATCACTTCATGGCAAATAGATGGGGAAACAATGGAAACAGTGAGGGACTTTATTTTGGGGGGCTCCAAAATCACTGCAGATGGTGATTGCACCCATGAAATTAAAAAACGGTTGCTCCTTGGAAGAAAAGCTATAACCAACCTAGACAGCATTTTAAAAAGCAGAGACATTACTTTGCCAACAAAGGTCTGTCTAGTCAAAGCTATGGTTTTTCATGTATGGATGTGATAGTTGGGCCATAAAGAAAGCTGAGCACCAAAGAATTGATGCTTTTGAACTGTGGTGTTGGAGAAGACTCTTGAGAGTCCCTTGGACTGCAAGGAGATCCAACCAGTTCATCCTATAGGAGATCAGTCCTTTAGGAAGTCATTGGAAGGACTGATGCTGAAGCTGAAACTCTAATACTTTGGCTACCTGAGGGGAAGAACTGACTCATTGGAAAAGACCCTGATGCTGGAAAAGATTGAAGGTGGGAGGAGAAGGTGACGACAGAGGATGAGTTGGTTGGATGACATCACCAACTTGATGGACATGAGTTTGAGTAAAGTCTGGGAGTTGGTGATGGACAAGGAAGCCTGGCGTGCTGCAGTCCATGGGGTCACAAAGAGACACGACTGAGCGACTGAATTGAATAATAATAGCAAACACTTCAGTAGTACTTGCTATTGTCGTTTAGTCACTAAGTTGTGTCCGACTCTTTGTGACCCCATGGACTGCAGCACAGCAGGCTCCTCTGTCCCTGGTACTTACTGTGTGGCCAGCACTTACGTATATTCACTCATTTAGTCTTACAACCACGATATGTCATATGTGTCTCATTCATCAGAGGCAGAAGTCGAGGCACCGCGAGCTCACGTGACCCGCCTGCGGTTGGTCACACGGCTGGTCAGCGATGCCACTGCCCTTCAGTTCCGTGCTGCCCAATGCTACCCCTGGTAGCATGTCCACTGCCTGCCTGGCCTTTGCACATGCTATTTCTTTCACTCTTGACAATCCTGTGAGGTCAGTGATAGGATCTCAATATGGCAGAGCAAGAAACTAAGGCTCAGAGAGAAGAAATGGCAGTGCCAGTGTTCAAACTCAGGACAAGCTGGCTTCAAGGTCAGTGCTCTTCACCATTACCGCACCCTCTCTCTAAGGAGCCTGCCCCGGTGAGTTTGGGGGTCCTTAGGTACAGACTCACAGCTGTCCCTCCAGCAACCCGTTTCTTTCATCTATCAGGATGCCCTGGGAGATTATATTTGAAGAGAGAGTTTAAAAGAAAGGCTGATAAAATGAAACCTTGGAAAAATAAATTTTCTTAGACAAAATAAAAGGCTTATCATGCAGAGCTGCAGAACAAGAATGTTTGAGAGGAGTCAGGAAGTAGACGGAATGTATGCCTGCAGTTAGATATATGGAAGGTCTTCTGTGTATAGACCATGGCATTTCCAGGATTTATTGAAGTAGAAGAGGTTATTTTTTACCAAGGCTTACAAATTAGTTGAATAGCTTTCACGGTATACATGGAAAGAGATGAGAGGCATACAGGAATCATGAGAATTGAAAGAGGCAAGGAGGCAAGGTAACAATGCAAATGAGTTGGGCCGTGTGGATAAACTCCAAGCATTTTGTGAAATCTGTTTTAGTCCTCAGCAGACACAGTACCTTTACCATCACCTGTCATTCAGGCTTTGATGAATTAGGGCTAACTGGAAAGTAGGACTTTTCATGCTGGCTAAATGATGGGGTAAGAGAATTGTTCAAGGATTCATGTTTAGCTATTTATCTTCCATTTGAAAAGTATTTCTCTCCCACTTGTCTATCTAGATTTTTGGAAAATTCTCAAATCTCTGTAAGAGTTAGCAGATGATTTTCTGACTGGTTCTTTTGAGATGTTAAATGTTATTCCTAGTAACCGTCTATGTAGCCTTTTTGACACCTCTAAAATAGTTCTCAAGCCACTAAGATGATCTCATTGCCTTTTGAAGTGCTTTAGTCCCTCATATTGGGGGGATGGGGTGGGCAGCCTTGGCTGTTGGCTTCAGATTCTTTTCTAATGGCGGTTGGCCGATAACTGTTACCTGGGACACTGACCTTGGCAGGTGGGGTGGGACAGCAGGGAGCGTGGGGAACTGGCTGCTTGTTAAGGCTGATTATATGCAAAGCTACTCTGTTCTTCTGCCCCTTTCAGCTCCTTAGACATGTCCCAGGAGTTCAAGTTTCCCCTGAAGAATAAAAAGATGAGTTCTACATTCTGGCGTCTCACGGGACAGGCAGTGAAGGGTTCATCTGGGCTCAAGAAAGAGTGAGGCCCATTTAAGTGCAGACGTGTAAGGCTCTTGGTGTTCTGCTCTGTACACACTCTTTTCTGCTCCATTCCAGTGAATCAGAATTTCGTCCACAGTGGATCTCTGTCCCCCTCAGGACCCAGACACCTTGCCTTGCCTTACTGACTTAGCTGTGCCCTCCCAGTCTTTCTGACCTCACTTCCCTTTGCCCTAAGTCTTTGCTTTTTTTTCTTTATCTCAACTTTTAAGATTCTAGGCTTAGGCTAAGTCACCAGGCCCCATATCCATTTATAGGTCCGTATCCAATTCCTTCCAGGAAAACCATTCAAGGCAGATGTCCAAAACCCTTAACCAGCACCCCGCCTCCCCTAGTTTTAGTTGCTCAGCTATTTCCCATGTAAAAGCCCCAGGAAGCAAAGGCCACTGCTTCAGCCACAGGGGCCAGGCTCCCCCGCCCCCCCACGGGTTTTACCTTAGGGTTTCCCCAGAGGAGCCCCTCCTCTTCCACAGGTTGACCAGGCTGCTGGACCTGCTGGCGGCCGAGGAGGACTTGCCGTCGCCCACGTGCATGCGCACCACAGTGGACGTGGTGAAGGCGCTGCGCACGTTCCTCTCGGGCTTGGCCAGGATGATGTAGACCTTGGGCACGAACATGCAGCCAAGCGCCACCGTGGCGCTGAGGCTGACGGAGAAGCACATGGTGATGATCTTGTAGTTGCTGCCGAAGTAGATGGGCACAAAGGCCAGCCAAATGATGCAGGTGGTGTACATCGTGAAGGCGATGTACTTGGCCTCGTTGAAGTTCGCCGGGACGTTTCTGGTCTTGAAGGCATAGAAGGTGCAGCTCAGGATCAGCAGTCCGTTGTATCCGAGAGGGGTGACGACCCCCAGGTTGGTGGTGTTACAGATCAGGTAGACCTCTCGGATGCTCGGGTAGTCGTGCATTATATCCGGAGGCTCCATGATAAACAGGGCGACGATGATGCCCAGCTGAATGCATATGAGGATGAACGCAATCACCAGCTGGGCACAGGCACTCATGAATCGGGGCTTTTTGGTGCAGATCTTCTTCTTGCTGCCTGCCAGGATCCTCGCAATCCGATTGGTCTTGGTGACCAGAGCCGAGTAGCTCATGGCTGGGGAGAGACCAATGCCTATTCTTTGCAGGTAGCAGTAAATCTGTTTGGGCTTTGCAATGAGGCAGAAGGTACACAAGTAGCCCAGGCAGATGCCAGCGAGGATGATATAGCAGAGCTCCCTGCTGGAGGACTTGACTACCGGCGTATCTCGGTAGATGATGAAGATCGCGGTGACAAACAGGGTGGCCAGCAGGCCCAGGCAGGCAAACACCACGGCTGCGATGGGCTCGGGGTCACCCCAGCGGAGATACTGCACTGGGATCAAGTCACAACCTGCAGAGACACAGACACACATTCAAGACGAGGGAAGAAATGTGGATGTGGGTCACTCTGCCTAAGGTACAAGCAGGTGCTTGTGGCTCTTTCGGCTGGTCTCCAGTCGACCCTTTTAACTTCAGTATCCCATACTGCTCCTTTCCTCAGATAGTTAGTCATGAAATATTTATCCTTGGATTACGAAATGCACACTCTGTGACAGGAGCTGTTCTGGGTTCTGAAAACAAAATGACAACGTATTTCCTACACTTACACAAACATGGTGGGGAAGGGGGCCACTTTTAAAGACTCACAGGTGGGATAAGGGCCATGTTGACACACAGCAAGCCTCTTGACTCCACCTGTGGGTAGTAAAGCCTCCTTCAACAGGAATGAGCGAATGCAAGCTTTGCGGTTTGGCTTCCTTTATGGATTTGGTTGGTTTGGCAAACACAAATCAACTGTGCGGAAAGAGCTTGGGATCATGGGAGGAGGTCACACACAGTAATGTGATGAGTGGCCTAAGATAAGCCTGGGACGTAGGCAGGAGGGGATCTTGGAGGGCAAAGAGTCTTAGATCAATGGGAAGTCATTGGAGCGATCTGTGCAGAGTAGAGGAATGAGGTGGTCAGATTTGTGTGTGTGTGTTTTAAACATGCTTTGGATTGCTGTGTGGACTTTGGATGAGATAAAGGTATAGAGGGATTTGAGTTATTTGAAATGACACAGACTGTTTACGTGGATGAGAGGGTATGTGAAAGGTAAAGGCATTGAGGCTGACCAACATTGGAACCATCTATGCTGTCTTTGACTCTGCTGCAAAAAAGCACAACAGTTTGGCAACATTTGGGTTATATGCCTTGTTTTAAAATGTCTTTACGACAGTGATTCTCAAACTTGACTACACACTGTAATCACTTAGGTATTTTTTAAGAATACTGTGGCTTAGGTCTCACTGCCAGAGTTTCTGATGTCACTGGCCTGGGCATCAAGATTTTTAAAAGGCACTCCAAGGGCTTCTAAGTGTGCAGCCAGAGTTGAGAACCATTGCTCTAGAAGAATCATTCCTGTCAAGTAGATTTTTAAAACAGAACTGAGATATTTTTATTGAGTGAGAAGGAGAGGAGTTGGTTTTCCCTGGTGGCTCAGTGGTAAAGAATCTGTCTTCAGTTCAGGAGACGGGGTTTGATCCCTGGTTTGGGAAGATCCCCTGGAGGAGAGCATGGCAACCCACTCCAGTATTCTTGCATGGAGAATCCCGTGGACAGAGGAGTATGCACGGCTACAGTCCATGGGGTTGCAGAGAGCTGGAGACGATTGAAGTGGCTAAGCAGCAGCAAGAGAGGAGTTAAGTAATCTGGAGCGTTAGACAGTTCAGCAGTGTAGCGGAGATTACTGTTGCTGCTAAAGCACTTCAGTCATGTCTGTGCGACCCCATAGACGGCAGCCCACCAGGCTCCTCTGTCCCGGGGATTCTCCAGGCATGAACACTGGAGTGGGCTGCCATTTCCTTCTCCAGCAGAGATTACTAACTGCCTGCAGATATCCATTCTCCCCTTCTTCCTCAGCAACTATCTCCAGTTTCATTTGAGGGGTAAAGGATGCAACTAAAATGCCACATTTACCAGCAGCCTTTGCAGTCAGATGTGCCATGTGACTAAGTTTTAGCCAGAAAAATATAAGTAGAGAACTCCTTAAAGGAAAGTGATTCATATTGGAAGTACCTTTTTGTGCCCTTCCCTGCTTTCTCCTTCTGTTGACTGGACTATACATGTGATGGCTAGAGCTCCAGCAGTTATCTTAGACTCTGAGGTAACATTAAAGTCAGAAAACATGCTTTGGGATTTGGAAGAGAAAAATACAGGGAGTCTGAGTCCCTGTTAACCATGAGACCACTGGCCAGCTCCGGACGATGTATGTCATATTTATCTTATGTAAATTACTTTTATTTCCCTGATAGATGCAGCCAGTGGAGAAGGACATGGCAACCTATACCAGTGTTCTTGCCTGGGAAATCCCATGGCCAGAGGAGCCTGGCGGGCTACAGTCCACGGGGTCATAAAAGAGTCAGACACGACTGGGTGACTAAACAACAGCAGCAATGCAGCCAGACCAAATCCTAACTGATATGGGTGTAACTTCCTATATTTTGTAGTCAAGGGTGTTGTATTAAGTGACTTTGAATGTCAATGGTTAATGGGAGCTAAGGGAGGCAGCAATAATGGTATGTAATGATGGCTATAGGGGAGCAGAATTTGCTACCCCGAAAATACGTCTCTTTGACATGTTAATTACTTTAAGCTGGTTATTTTCTAAGAAACAGCAGACAAAGGAAAAACTCTGAAAACCAAATAGGAGGAGATGCCTTTTTGTCAGAAATGTTTGCATTCATAATGGAAAGCTCTCTTTGTAAGGGGATCTCCCTCACTCTATAGAAGAGGAGGATGAACAAATTGCTAGTAATTCTGATTGGTGGAGAAGGCAAAGACTGAAATCTGCATAATGACATTTGTTCCCCTTATTACTGTGCTTTTTCTCTGCTAGCTGACTGTTGCCACCCATAACATCTTCTTTTGTCTTTAGCTGAGGATGGTATTTAAGGTAAGGGCTTTGGCCATTTTGGTGAGTTGCTCATTTTTCCTGAGTCTCTCCTCTGTCTACAGGTTATTAAGCTCTTCGATTTCTCTTCTTAATGTCTCGTGTCAATTTAATTCCTAGACCAGCCAGAAGAACATAGAAGGGCAGAGGAAAATTTCTTTCTCCCTGATAGTGACAAAGAAGTGTGTGGTTCTTTCAAAATATGTTAAAGGGCAGCTCTGTTGTAAAAAGGAATGGAAACATTCTTTTTCCTTTCCCTTATTTCTGACTTGCCAGTCTCTTTCTTCAAGATCTTAGGTTTCAAATGGTATTATTAGTTTATAATAAGATCCATTATGGGCTTAATAAGATTTGTGAGTTAGCTTAGGATCCCCGGAACACTTGACAAAGTAGTTTCTGTGGATAAATATATGCTTATTTAAAACACCTGTGCTTTTAATTTTAAAAAGTGTGTATGTGGATAGCCCAGAGCAAATATGACAATTATTTTATATAGTGTATAGAATTATAAATAAATGCATATAACATTGCTGATGAATATGTGTGTTAGTCGCTCAGTCGTGTCTGACTCTTTATGACCCCATGGACACAGCCCACCAAGCTCCTCTGTCCATGCTATTCTCCAGGCAAGAATACTGGAGTGGGTTGCCATTCCCCTCTCCAGAGGATCTTCCGACCCATAGATCAAACCTGGGTCTCTTGCACTGAAGACAGATTCTTTACCACCTGAGCCACTGGGGATGCCCGCTAATGAATATGCCTGTATCCACAGTCTAGGCACCCATGTTCACAAATGCTGCTTATGTGTAGGAATTCAGCTTCTGAGACTGTAGTATACCATAGGGTTTAGGTTCATATTTACAAATTTGCTTCTCATAGAAACTATTTTACAACAAGAAAATAGGGACCAATCATTCCTATCATTATTCTTCCATAACAGTTTATAATAGTGATATGGCAGTGAAATTTATGGTGTACTGTAGTTAATTCTCTAGGAGTCTATTTCCCCTGCTAGGTCCTGAGCTACTAAATGACCATAGTAATTTACTTATAGAGGAAAGATATTATATGGTACATGAGGCAGGAGAGAATCTTATACATATATATTTCCCTGATGACTCAGTGGTAGACTCTACCTGCCAATGAGGGAGATGCAGGTTCAATCCGTGGGTTGGGATGATCTCCCGGAGAAGGAAACAGCAACACACTCCAATATTCTTGCCTCAGAAACCCCATGGACAGAGGACCTAGCAGGCTATAGTCCATGGACTCGCAAAGAGCTGGCTGCGACTTAGCGACTAAACAACAACGAGGGCTTTCACTGGACTCCCTTCTTTTTGTTACCCCATACTGTTTTGTGGAATCTTAACTGTTTTTGTATAAATGTAATTAGGACACTAATTACTAAATGCTTTCTATATGATAAGATTCACCACTATTTTTATGTCAAATATATTCTTGAACTCTTCATGTGCAACCTGTTAACATCATGTGTGAACCTAAAGAAAACCCCACTAGATATGTGTTGGAAGGAATGTGTATAAGGGATGCCTCTAATGTGTTGTGACTATTTTCACAAACTTGTCAGAATTTATACATTTAAGTGAGTTTTTTTTTCCATTTGACATGAACCACTCCAAAGACTTTATGTTGAGTTTAATGATGCTGCCATTGCACAAAATACTTTTGAAGCTATTCTCTTGGAATAGCAAATTGGATTCTGATTAGAGTGTTATAATTGCTGAATCTTATAATTGGATAAGATCTTAGAGTTTCCAAAAATGAATGTGCATCACAGTCACTTGGAGAGTCTAGAAGAATACAACTCAAGAGTCTAAACTCAGGAGATTTCGAATCAGTACATATGGGGTGGGAAAAAGGAATTTTTCTTGAATAAGAAGGCTCAATAATGGATGTGAGAGTTGGATCATAAAGAAGGCTGAGTGCTGAAGAATTGATGCTTTCAGACTCTGGTGTTGGAGAAGACTCTTGAGAGTCCCTTGGACTGCAAGGAGATCAAACCAGTCAGTCCTAAAGGAAATCAACCCTGAATATTCACTGGAAGGACTGATTCTGAACCTGAAGCTCCAATTCTTTGGCCACCTGATGTGAAGAGCTGTCAATGGAAAAGATCCTCATGCTGGGAAAGATTGGAGGCAGGAGGAGAAGGGCGCAAGAGAGAATGAGATGGTTGGATGGCAGCACCGACTCAGTGGACATGAAACTGAGCAAACTCTGGGAGACAGAGAAGGACAGGGCAGCCTGGTGTGCTGCGGCCCATGGGTCACAAAGAGTCGGACACAGCTGAGCAACTGAACAACGGCAAAGTTCAGTGACTGTACAACCAGCCCCGGGTTGGCAGCCCAGCCGTGGAGATCATCAAGCTGACTTCTCATCCAGCATGTGAATGTCTTATATGA